AAAAAAAAACAATGAACTTAATAAAAGTTCTCTAGTTTAGCAAGAGTTTATGCATGCCATCAAGAAAGAGTTTAGCAATGGCATATGCAGGTAAGTTTGAGTTCACTGGAGCTTCAAAATCTTCCCAGTAATCTTCATCTATCTTGGAGAAATATCGAGCATTTGGTCAGTGATCGACTCTAAATTTGATGGAACAAAAAAGGGAAAAACAGAAAAGAAAAACATCTCGGCTGAATTCTAAACTTATTTCCTTTCACCATACTGCCCCATATATTAACAAAGGTAATTTTTTTCCATTCCTAATCTTTCAGCACATAAACTTATATGATCAACTGATTATATTCAATGGGTTTAGTAAACAGGTCAAGCAATTAGAGAACTTATGTAACATCACCTCCAGCACAAAATGCTCTTCATTTCCCCTGTTATTAGCAGCATGAATATGTGTAATAAGAGTAGAATGAAACTGGAAAAACCAATTATGGACGACAAAAGAATGCCGATAAGCTAAATGCACGAGCTGCTTTTGCCTGTTGAGCATGAAAATCCAGACAAATTTTTCTTTTCGTTTTTTTTTTTCCCCACCAAAGCCTGCCTAAGTTCATTGGTTTCAAACCGAAAGGTGAAAAATCGAGCATGAAACTGAATTATTACAACATAATATCCAACAAGATTCAAACTTTAACTGCAAATGAATACACAATTAACTAACTTTTGAAATTCGACACATAAGCTCATAAGTTGACACATATGCTCGAAAAACCTCAAAATTAATATATAAGAGATATATACTTTTCATGTTTTTTATAGTATATATATATATTTTTTATCTACAAGTAATAATTTCTAGAGAAATAGAAAGCTACTATATACACACCCTTTAATTTTATTTTGGACTAAATATTTATTATGAACAATTACCGTGCTATTTACCTAACAAATAATTACCAAATAAATTATTCTAAAACATAAAGGAGTGGAAATTGGAATCTCTCAATATTATTGGCATTTGATATTTCTCATGATACGCTGATACGATTTTCTTTAAAAATGGTAAGAATTAAGAAATTTTAAGAAAATGCTGAAAAGCACAATAGTTTACTAAACCTCTCGAAATCACATGCATTACCTATCCCAAGGGCAGGTTCTTACGCGTTACTCACCCGTCCGCCACTGGAAACACCACTTCCCGTCCGACTTGCACGTGGGGCGCAGAAAGCTCAGACTGAGGTTTCTGGATAACTGGGGAATTCACATTTTTTGAAAATTTATGTATTAGAATATAGAGAATTTATGAAGTTCTTAGATATAAAAAAAAATCAACCATTTTTTATCCATTATTATTTTTTTTATTAAAAAATCTAACTCAAATTTAATTCAATGCAGATATCCTCAATATTATTAATATAAGTAAATGATACCACTTTTTTTTTCAAAACTAACTCTCATTAACGACTAAATCCAATCAAAACATTTTATTTGGTAAATAATTGACCGGGTTTTTATAACCAAACTAGTGTTGTACCCGTGCGATGCACGAGTTAGTTTTATTAAGGTAAACAGCTAAATTTGGATGATTAGAAGAACGTAAAATACATATATTGAAATGAAACACAATGTGACGTTATATATTATTAAACACATCATTGTACACAAAATTATATGTTTGATCTTTTGGTACATCGTCTATCGCCACAAATTATATTAAGATTGTAGATAGTCTTAAATAAATCGATTAAATAATTTAGCAGAATATATACGATACTTTGTAAGTGTATGAAATCATTATTTATTTTGTAAGTTTATTCAATCAATTTCAAATTTGTATTTTAGATAATTAAACAAAACCCAAATTTTTAGGATGTTACAATCCGATTTCATTTTGAATTTCAAATTAATATTATATGACTTTGTTTTATGTTTAAAAAAAAGTCTGAATTAAAAAAGTAGTAATCAAATGATAAAAGATTTTTAAATTTTAATTTGAAATTTGACCCGATTTTTATGTAATCTGATTTTTTTTAATAAACATGATCTGCTACAATTAGGTAAAGATACATGTTATAGTTAGTGTTTTGTCTAATTCAAAATTCTCGATTGTATGGTAAACATATTTTTCTAATAAAAAAATGAAAGAATTTTGACTTTTACAAAATTGTCATGCCGACTATGCAATCTGATTTTTATAATAAATAAATAATTTGTTGCAATTAGTAAAAGACATATGTGATAGTATTTTGCCTAATTCAAAATTCTTGAGTTTATTTTAATCAGTTTTTTTAACAAAAATAGAGAAAGAAATTTGACTTTTGCATCAGTCGAAATTTACCTAAATTAAATCCACAAAATATATAAATTTAGGGTGCATATTAAAAAAAATAAAATTGTTGTACCATTTTAAGACTAAATCAACCGTAATTAGTTTTAATTAAAATATAATAGTTTCCAAACAAAACACTTTAGTTAGCCAAACATTTATGGTATGTAATATTGTTTCTTTATAGTAGCACGATTTTTGACAGAAGTAACAAATACCTAATTTTAGGGTAGCGTTTAATGCTGATTTTTGTTGAAAAAAAAAAGGAAATTACTAAGTATGGAATGTAATTAATGCTAGTTGAGATTTGACCAGAATTTGACCTACTATTTTTAAAAAATGTTAATTCTTTTTATATATATATATATAGATTTACATGTTTGATTAAATTCAAAGTTAGCCATCCATTTTAAAAAAAATTCTAAAAAAAAATTACAAATAATAGTAAACTCGGATGTTTTTAGAATTTACATGCTATTTCAAGTCACTATCTTTTTTATATCATCAATAGCTATAAATCGAGCATGAAACTGAATTATTACAACATAATATCCAACAAGATTCAAACTTTAACTGCAATTTTATATCATCAATAGCTATAAATCGAGCATGAAACTGAATTATTACAACATAATATCCAACAAGATTCAAACTTTAACTGCAAATGAATACACAATTAACTAACTTTTGAAATTCGACACATAAGCTCATAAGTTGACACATATGCTCGAAAAACCTCAAAATTAATATATAAGAGATATATACTTTTCATGTTTTTTTTTATAGTATATATATATATATATTTTTTATCTACAAGTAATAATTTCTAGAGAAATAGAAAGCTACTATATACACACCCTTTAATTTTATTTTGGACTTAATATTTATTATGAACAATTACCATGCTATTTACCTAACAAATAATTACCAAATAAATTATTCTAAAACATAAAGGAGTGGAAATTGGAATCTCTTAATATTATTGGCATTTGATATTTCTCATGATACGCTGATACGATTTTCTTCAAAAATGATAAGAATTAAGAAATTTTTAGAAAATGCTGAAAAGCACAATAGTTTACTAAACCTCTCGAATTTACATGCATTACCTATCGGAATTCACATTTTTTGAAAATTTTTGTATTAGAATATAGAGAATTTATGAAGTTCTTAGATATCCATTAAAAAATCTAAGTAAAAAAATCAACCATTTTTGAAAAAAAAAATCAACCATTTTTTATAGAGAATTTTTGAAAAAAAAATCAACCATTTTTTATCCATTATTATTTTTTATAGAGAATTTTTGAAAAAAAAAATCAACCATTTTTTATCCATTTTTTATCCATTAGATATAGAGAATTTTTGAAAAAAAAATCAACCATTTTTTATCCATTATTATTTTTTTTATTAAAAAATCTAACTCAAATTTAATTCAATGCAAATATCCTCATTATTATTAATATAAGTAAATGATACCACTTTTTTTTCAAAACTAACCCTCATTAACTACTAAATCCAATCAAAACGTTTTATTTGATAAATAATTGACCGGGTTTTTTATAACCAAATTTACATGTTTGATTAAATTCAAAGTTAGCCATCCATTTTAAAAAAAATTCTAAAAAAAAAAATTACGAATAATAGTAAACTCGGATGTTTTTAGAATTTACATGCTATTTCAAGTCACTATCTTTTTTATATCAATAGCTATAAATATATAGAGATAGCTAGAACTTTTTATGATTGGAAATATTCTATTCAATAATTGCTTTATGTTTGGAAATAATTCTATTCAATTTGTTATCTTATAGCAAATTATAAATTTATTTGTTGGTAAAAATAAATATTAAGTGCATAAATAAAGGGCGTCTAAGATCAGTGGACAGTGGCTAGTAGCACAATAGGTCAAACTTTTCATTTTTTTCCGCAAAGGTTTGATTTTTTTGTTTTACTGTAGACTGCATTACAAAATCACAGAGAAAAAGGGGAAGAAAGAACAGAGTAACCCCATTAATGGCGTTTGGCGAGAAAGATTGGTTAGCGTGCTGTGGGAGCTTGAAATTTGCCCAAGAAATGGCGGCCCGAGGACCCTTTTCAAGTCGCGAAGAAGCAATTAGTGCTGCTAAAGATATCTGGTTCAACAAAGTATCGATTTTTCTCACAAATTCTCTGTTTTCGGACATATATGCACTGTCTGTAATTAATCGGATTTAATGATTCATGTTTGTTGTCTTTTCTTGAATTCTTCAGGTTGATGTGAATGGATGGCTTGAGGCTTTTGCTGCTCATCCTCAGATTGGTGAAAGCCCTTCAAAGGCTCACAAGAGTCCAACCAGTGCTCAGTTTTGTTCTTATTTTACCTCTTTTTTTTTCCCCTTTAATTGATTTTTTTATAATGATTTTGTTGAGAGATGCTAGGGTCTCGTTACGGAACCATTCCGTCGGGCTTTGTAACCGTTAAATCAACTATCACCGACGGTTACATGATGATATAACGGTTACAAACCCCGACGGAATGGTTCCATAACGGGACCGTAGCATTTCTCAATTATGTTAATTCGAGAATTTTCCCATGATCCGAATTGCCCCGAGTAAGTTAGAACAAAATGATATGCTATGCATATTTCTTGAAGATGGTTTTTTTTTATATGAAATTGTGTAAAAAACACAACTTTGGTATCCAATTGGTATGATTTGTTAGGATATCAGCCATTTTCTTACCCCCTCAATGTGTTTAGTAATTGTTCGACAGATATATATACTTTCGAACTTAGATGTCATGCTCTAAAAAGCAACATTAACAATTGTATGACATTTCATAACATAAGTATGCATTTTAGTTTACTTTTTTGTGTCCTTGGTCAAGGTTTTGTTGTTAAATTCCAAATATGCAAATGAAATTTGATTGGAGTTTGCAGTTTTATCGGCTACTTTTTAGGCTCTCGGACTAGTGATCACAGCCTTTTTAAAATGATAGTTGTCTTTTGAGATCATAGGTGGAGTAAGGGAGAACAATCGACTGCCTTGGCTACTGCTAATGAGTCCACATTACAGGTAATTTCGGTTTCACAATTCCGCCATTGTTACTTCAAAATTTAGGAAGCTAGTCCTTGAGTGGTTGTTCAGCTCGGTTTTGATCCTGTGCTAATTTAGTACACCACATTATGGTGTCCCAAGATAGATCTTCTGATTATATCCTAGTTTTCTTAAGGTTGGCCGAGAAAGCTCATCAACCAACTTGTGAAAGCTTTTCCAAGTAGTTTGTTTATCAATTTTTTTCCGATTATATGTGCAAGTACATTTCAATTATATTATTTTCCTTTTGACTTCCAAAATGCTTCAATATTGCGAGTGGATTTCATCAATTTTTGTTTTCCTTTCTTAAGCAGCTTCTGAATGCTTTTCCAAGTATTTGGTTTAGCATTTTTTCAACACCATTTAGTGTTTATCACGTGCAAATAGACTTCGTCAATGTTGTTTTTCTTTTGATTTCAGTAGTGAGAATTATTACCTTGTAAGGTCTTGTAGGTAGACTTATGAATTTCCTGTTTATAAAATGAGAAAAAAAAAAAAGAAGTTTTTGAGGTTTGACCTTATTATGGAAGAAACTCTGTTCTCTTTAAAATGTAAATGCAACATTTTTTTTTCAACAAGAATTTCTCTTTAGAAGAATTTGCAAAACAGAAACACGTGTCAAGAACCGAGAATGTGTAACCAAACTAAACATCAGGGAGATTCTTTTGTTATTACTTATTCTACTTATTAGTGCTTCTTTTAATTTTATTTTGGTCACATTGACTGTTGTGTTCTGTAGGAGCTATATGAATGGAATGCCCGTTATAGGAGCAAGTTCGGGTTTGTCTTTTTGATTTTTGCCTCGGGTAGAAGTACCCCAGAGATACTTGCTGAGTTGAAGGTAACATTTCGCCAAAGATTATTCTGTAATTTACTTCTTTGAGACCAATTTTTTTTTT